GTTCACACCACTACATTCCAGCCTGAGTAACAGAGTGAGATCCTGTAATAAATAAATAAATATTTAAATATATAAATTAATTAATTAATTAATTAATCAGATAAGAGGAAGGCATAGGATTTAGGACAAAGTGAATCCAAACCAAGAGAATTCTAGGAATTCTAGGTAAAGGGAGGCAGAGCACAATGACTCATGCCTGTAATCCCAGAACTTTGGGAGGCCCAAGTGGGCAGGTTACTTGAGGTCAGAAGTTCGAGCACAGCCTGACCAACATGGTGAAACCCCATCTCTACTATATATACAAAAACTAGCTGGGCGTTGTGACATGCATCTGTAATCCCAGCTACTTGGGAGACTGAGTGGGAGAATTACTTGAACCTGGGAGTCGGAGCTTGCAGTGAGCCGAGATAGTGCCACTACACTCCAGGGTGGGTGACAGAGCGAGACTCCATCTCAAAAAAAAAAATAAATAAATAAATAAAAGTTAATAAAACAAAATTTTTAAAAAGTAAAGGGAAAACTCAAGATGGTAACTAAGTAGTAGGCAGGACAGCCATCCACCTTGGAATAGGAGAGCTACAAAAGCGTATGCGAAAACAAAAGGTAAATACTCAAACATCCAGCTCAGAACTTTGAAAGTAATTGCTGCTGGGTGACAAGAGCTAGGTGAGGAAGGGAGATGGCGGTGAGCAGGGGATTCCTACTCATCAACCTATGGGGCAATTCTATCTTAATCCCTGTCAGGACTTCCCCACACTCATTATTTCTCCAAAGACAATTTCTTTCCTGGATCACAGAACTGATGTGTCCATAAAGAGCAGTAACTTCATGCAGAATTAGTCCTAAGAGTTCAGACATTGTTTGTTCTGCCTTATTTCACATTCACTTTATTCTCAGATAAGCATACTACTAAAGGCACTGATGCTTCATTGCTGTAGAAAATTCCTGCAGCGGAGACGCACTGCACCAATCAGGATAACCAAGAGAAAGAGAATATGATGATCAGCCAGGTCTGGAGACCCGAAGAAGGGAAAAGAACCTGCGTAGGCACTGGAACTCAGGGAGCCATGAGTGTGCACGCTGACTACATTGTGAGGACACTCCAAGCATGCCACACAGGCCTGGTGCATTACCTGTCATCACAGGGTCACTCTCTCCTTCCCAAGAATGGTGTAAAGACTGATTTATTGCCGGGCGCGGTGGCTCAAGCCTGTAATCCCAGTACTTTGGGAGGCCGAGGCGGGTGGATCACAAGGTCAAGAGATCGAGACCATCCTGGTCAACATGGTGAAACCCCGTCTCTACTAAAAATACTAAAAATTAGCTGGGCGTGGTGGCGCGTGCCTGTAATCCCAGCTACTCGGGATGCTGAGGCAGGAGAATTGCCTGAACCCAGGAGGCAGAGGTTGCAGTGAGCCGAGATCGTGCCATTGCACTCCAGCCTGGGTAACAAGAGTGAAACTCCATCTCAAAAAAAAAAAAAAAAAGACTGATTTATTATAGTCCTGAGGGGGGAAGAAATTATCCTTGAATGTGTGGAGAGTACATTTTGGGAGAGACTGTAACTGGGTTATTCAAAACTAGGGTTTTTGAAATCCTCTATTCTTTTTTTTTTCTTGAAACAGGGTCTCACTTTGTCACCCAGGCTGGAGTACGGCGGCAAGATCTCAGCTCACTGCAGCCTCGAACTCTTGGGCTCAAGAAACCCTCCTGCCTGAATCTCCTTAGTAACTGGGACTACAGGTGTGTGCCACCATGCCGGGCTAGTTTTTTGTTTTTGTTTTTTTAAATTTTAGTAGAGACAGATTGTTTGTTGCCCAGGCTGGTCTCAAATTCTGGGGCTCAAGTGATCCTACCACCTCAGCCTCCCAGAGTTTTGTGATTACAGACATGAGCCACGGTGCCCAGCCAGAATCCTTTATTGTAACTTAAACAATGAGCATGAAATAGTTTAGGGGGCTTAGAGCACCATCACAGCTGAATGCAGGAATTAGGTACTCTGGGGTAGCTTAAATCTCGACTCCCTCTACTGCTCTGGTCTTTGCCAGAGGTGGGTCCGCTGGTAAACGCATAGGACATTTGTTGCCTTTGGCTACACATTTAGAGAAATTACTTCCCCCCAAATGTTCATGGTCTGGTTGAAATAGTATATCTAGTGCCTGCCTCCCAACAAAGGAGGCAAAATGGTCGTGTTCTATCTATCAGTATACCGATAACAGCCAGGAAGCCAGCAAATGAACAAAATTGGCCCGTGGGTTGCTTCATTTGCAGACTAAAGCAATGGCTGAGGAATCAGTCCAGTGGTGGTACTCTAGCCCTAGCTTTCAAACGGGACCGTTACAGCAGCTCCTGCTTCCTCGTTCTCTAGGAACTAACTTCTTGCCTACTTTGGAGCATGGTTCTTTTTTTTTTTTTTTTTTTTTTTTTTTTTTGAGTTGAAGTTTCACTCTTGTTACCCAGGCTGGAGTGCAATGGCACAATCTTGGATCACCGCAACCTCCGCCAACTGGGTTCAGCCTCCTGAGTAGCTGGGATTACAGGCACGCACCACCATGCCCAGCTGATATTTTGTATTTTTTTTTTTTTTTTAAGTAGAGACAGGATTTCACCATGTTGACCAGGATGGTCTCAATCTCTTGACCTCGTGATCCACCCACCTCGGCCTCCCAAAGTGCTGGGATTACAGGCGTGAGCCACCGCACCCGGCCCTTGGAGCATGGTTCTTAAGGTTCCCATTGGGTCTGTAATCCTGCAAAATCTTTCTGATGAATTTATTTGCTTAAGTTGAGTTCTGCTTCTTCCTGGAACCTAAGAACCCTGACTAATACAGTGGTTAACTGTGCGCTGTGGTAAATTGAATACGCCTGTTCCTGTTCTGTCACTGCTATGCCTGATTTTGTTTCTAAATTGAAAAACTATCATAAATAACCCCCAGTTTTCATGAGCTCTCTAAGGAATCTGGCCAATACAGTCTTCTCTCTCTCTCTGTTAACAGCACTGGCAATGATATTTTGATGTATCTGCTACCCAGCTTGATGTCGTAATGTAGTGTAATGGAATTTAAACCGATGACCTAAACTAGAAACAAATATTATAATTACCCATTACATTGGTAATATATTGATTAGGAAGAATAGGAACATGGAAGACAAGGTGTGGGTTAGGTAAATAAAACCAACCAAGGAATCGAGAAATGTAAGTTAGAAGCACAGGAAACAGAATTAACAAGGGACAATACAACCTAAAACCCAAGTTATTCAAAATGGTGACTAATTTTGAATAATTTCCTCTATTTCTTCTAGTGTTTCCCTGCCCCTCCTGCTTCTGACACTGGCTGCTGTTAAAATCTGGAGTCGAAATCCTACTCCACCTGGATTAACGAGGATGCTAAATGCATGAACTCAACACTGATCCTGTTGGTGGAAAAATGACCCAAGCTGCAATGTCTGCTATCTCCTGTGGGGCCACCTGGGGCAAACTGTTGTACACCCCTTTCCCCACCATGCTAGGGTTGGGCTGAATGGGAGGACCAGTATGGACTCAAGTTATTATAACATCTGGTTATATAATAGGACATAGTCAATAGCCAAGAGCTTTGTCCACACTCAATGGTGGAAGAGACTGAGCCATTCTGTTTTGGTAACTGGCAACTCACTTTTTCTGAAAATAAAGTGTCAATGATAATTGGGATATATAAACCTCAAGTCAACCGCCTGCTGACTGTTCCACGGTTAGTTACGAATTACACTGTGGTGAGCTAACAAATACAAAAGCCTAAAGCAATTGTTTCTGTGAGCAACAGGGAGACATTTAGTAAGTGTCCACTGGTCTCCCGAGCAGAGGAGCAAGGATTTCACGTGATGATTATCCCAATCCACACACACTTCACGGCTTCCCAGGGTTCCCCCGGCACACAGAGAAAAGCAATTCTCAGATATGTTCTGGGTTACTCAGTAAACGGGTTGTGAAAGTTGTTAAATTAATTTCTCGTATTTGTGACATACACACTCAAAGATATCAACAGAGCAAACAAAACTTGAAGATTCTAAGAGAGCTGGGGAGTTGAGCCGCTGGTGTGTGCGTGCTTCTCTATTTCCTCTTCCTGTGTGCAGATTAGCAGGATGTGATGGAGTCTTGATTTAAAGTTTGAAACTGTGATCCTCATTTCTTCAAGAATTTGGAGCAGGGGGGAAACCTGAGCTCAGCAAAGGAGGCTGCGGACTAACCTCCCGTCTTTGGTGAGCCTCTTATCTTCCTGTGGACTTCACCTCCTCACCTGCCTTTGCTATCCTGGGTTACCACGTTTAGACTCAACTCTAGTTCAGGATCCTCCGTTCTTGGGTAGGTGTCAAAAATTAAATCTTTTTTCTAGCCTTAGTTTCACAAATCCATCCCTTATATCTTTCCTATAACATCCAGGAAGAGGATATCCTTCTTTCCTCCCTAGGCCAGTGCCCAGTGGGCACCACCATGTCTAAATGTCAGCAGGGCATTTCCAGCCTTCCTTTATTTATAATGGACCATTATAGTGTATGGTCTTTTAAATGGGCGATAGGTACACTGGGGGTGAGCCCAAATTTAAATTTCCCCGTTAAGGATCCTGGAACTATGATCTCCTGAAACATCTAAAGGAGGACCAGGAAAGTCATTAGATTGTTGCCAACTAGATTGTTTCATGTACACATGGAAAGATTAGTTCTGACACAGGTTGCCAAGAAGGTAGCCGAAACCTCACTAAAGATGTCGAGAGAACCACTGAGAAGTCCTGTCAATTTCCTCTCCAAGTGTGACCCACTAAGCCATACCCCACCCCCCATCCCACAACAGCTAAAGACCGAATATTTGACTTCCTCCTCCTCCTCTGTCCCCAGAGTCACCTAAAATTGCCTTGAGTGGAGTTCCAACAAGTGTCCTGATGTTCTACTTTCAAAGATGCCAACCGGAGATGCCTGGAGCTTTGCTATAAAGTACCCTCTTAATCTTATGTAAAATTCAGCCTCACCAAGACTTGACTCATATTCTGAGTATCCAGGTGTGCTAGAGCACTTGCAGAGAATCCACTGGTCTTGAATCACTGGTGGGGGTAATCGCTGCCCAGGTTAGAAACACGCCCTGCCTGGAGTTTTAGAAAGTGTGCTGGCAGTCACCTTTCCTCACACCCATCAGGCAGTTGTTACCTGCCATGTTGTATTGTGAAGTTTTAAAAAATAAAAAACAACAAAGAAAAATTTAGCCTCAGAGCATTAGTACTGCAATTCTCAAGCCATTAAGATGGCCCATCCTAGAAATAATCAGAATATTTTCTGTCTAGGAAAGCAGAATATGACTGGGCCTGGTGGCTCACGCCTGTAATCCTAGTACTTTGGGAGGCTGAGGTAGATGGATCACTTGAGTTCAGGAGTTCGAGACCAGCCTGATCAACATGGTAAAACTCCACCTCTACTAAAAATTAGCCAAGCATAGTGGTGCATGCTTGTAATCCCAGCTACTTGGGAGGCTGAGGCAGGAGAATCACTTGAATCCAGGAGGCAGAGTTTGTAGTGAGCCAAGATCATGCCATTGCCCTGCATCCTAGGCAACAAGAGTGAAGTTCCATCTAAAAAAAAAAAAAAGAAGAAGAAAGAAAGAAAGAAAAAGAAAGAAAGAAAGAAAGAAAGAAGGAAAGAAAGAAAGAAAGAAAGAAAAGAAAGGCGGGGCCGGGCGCAGTGGCTCACGCCTGTAATCCCAGCACTTTGGGAGGCCGAGGCAGGTGGATTACGAAGTCAAGAGATCGAGACCATCCTGGTCAACATGGTGAAACCCCGTCTCTACTAAAAATACAAAAAATTAGCTGGGCATGGTGGCGCGTGCCTGTAGTCCCAGCTACTCAGGAGGCTGAGGCAGGAGAATTGCCTGAACCCAGGAGGCGGAGGTTGCGGTGAGCCGAGATTGCGCCATTGCACTCCAGCCTGGGTAACAAGAGCGAAACTCCATCTCAAAAAAAAAAAGAAAAGAAAAGAAAAGAAAAGAAAAGAAAGGCATGACGTGGTGGCTCACGCCTGTAATCCCAACACTTTGGGAGGCTGAGGTGGGTGGATCATGAGGTCAGGAGTTTGAGACCAGCCTGGCCAACATGGTGAAACCCCACCTCTGCTAAAAATACAAAATTTAGCCAGGCATGGTGGTGCACACTTGTAATCCCAGCTACTCAGGAGGCTGAGGCAGGAGAATCGCTTGAACCAGGGAGACAGGGGTTGCGATGAGCCGAGATCAAGCCACTGCACTCCAGCCTGAGTGACAGAGCAAGGCTCTGTCTCAAAAATAAAGAAGGAAGAAAAGGAAGGAAGGAAGGAAGGAAGGAAGGAAGGAAGGAAAGAAAGAAAGAAAGAAAGAAAGAAAGAAAGAAAGAAAGAAAGAAAGAAAGAAAGAAAGAAAGAGAAAGAAAGAAAGAAAGAAAGGCAGAATATTCGTATATTTTAGAATGGCTGGAAATGTAGTTGAGTCTATTTTCAGATTAGTAAGTCTAGACTGCAGAAGACCAGGTGAGAAAGGAATTGTCTGTATTTCAAGAAACAACTTTAGTCAACTAAGAGGCATTAAGAAGATGCATTCTATATACATAAACAGAAACTAGAGAAAGAGGAAATTTAAAGATTTGGGGACTAGATTATGATAAAAATCAATTTAGAGAATCACCTGGGGCCAGGCGTGGTGGCTCACACCTGTAATCCCAGCACTTTGAGAGGCCAAAGTGGGCAAATCACCTGAGGTCAAGAGTTTGAGACCAGCCTGACCAACATGATGAAACCCATCTCTACCAAAAATACAAAAATTAGCCGGGTATGGTGGTGCACACCTGTAATCCCAGCTACTTGAGAGGCTGAGGCAGAATAATTGCTTGAACTCGGGAAGTGGAGGTTGCAGTGAGCCAAGATCATGCCACGATACTCCAGCTTGGGTGAAAGAGTGGGACTCCATCTCAAAAAAAAAGAAAAAGAAAAAGAAAAAAGAAATCACTTGGATTTATGCATTGTAAATTTTGGTATAATGTAATAATATTACGTTGGTAGGAAAATGTTTTGTATTTAAAAAGGAAGCTCAAAGAAGAGAGAGAATAAATTTTAAAGGCTTTAATAGCATGACTATTTACTAAATTAAATTGTAATGAAATGCATGAAGCTATGTGCGTTCTAATATTGCCAGAAATTGAATAGTAGAAGATAGAATTCGGTGCCATCCAGAACTTGTGCATATGAATCTTCTGCATGTAATGGTGCACTTGGCCACTACGTAAGGACCAGATGATGGTTAAATGAAATTTTCATACAAAACTGGGGAACTTCATTTGCTTGATTTTCCCTTCGCCCATCATCTCATAAGGTAGACTCTGAGAACAGTTTTCTACCATACCCAAAGGTTTATTATCACAGAAGGAAAAAACTCCTTGGCTGAAAACTGCCACCTTCTAGGAAAACTGCCAGCTAGTTATACTGACAACCTCCCAGCACTGAAAACAAATTAATCATACATGATTTATATAGAACAAAGCCTCACAGAATGAGCTATGAGGAGTGACTGTACGAGAAAATAATTTGATTACACATCTTAGTGGCATACAGTATAAGGAAAAAAATAACTGCAAAGAAATCTTAGATTTTATTTAATAATTTTATCAGATAAATTAATAATTAGATTAATTTTGTTTGGGATCAAGCTTTCAAGTATAAGGAAAAAGGAGGAAAATAATAAAATTGAAATGCTTTAATTGGGAATCAGACTGTTAGAACTGAATTGGAAATATCAATAGGAACCCATGCTTTTTAAAAGAAAAAAAGTATCTGTTTTCGAATTCTGTCAGCTAAAATGAACTAGTAACAAGCGCTTAAGAAATGAACCTAATTTACTGCTAAGATTATGGCATCTTTCCAGGATATCCTGGAGAAATGGTTGGTTCCAGGAGTCATTATGAGCCTGAGGCAACTCACTGTATGTACCAAGAGACAAGAAATAATTCAGATTAATGGGACTGCGTCAAAAGAACACAACAGGGCCCCCCACTGGCCAAAGTGTGTCAATTTGAGCAGCAAAACTAATAATTATTGCAGTTAATTAAATCACATTGAATCTATGAGAGGCCACGAGTCCATAGCGATACACACAAGAAAATTTTGCTTAAAATTGAGTAAAGATGGTGAATTGAATAGAGTATATCACTTTCGGATCCTTTATTGAAGCATCCTATTATTTTGACACATTTATCTGTGAAAAATACAGAATTTAGTAAATATCAAACACATAATTAGAAAGCATTTTCTGAAACCAGGCCTGGCGGCTCACACCTGTAATCTCAGCACTTTGAGAGGCGGAGGTGGGAGGAAAGCTTGAGCGCAGGGAGTTGGAGGCTGTAGTGAACTGTGATCGTCCCACTCCACTCCAGCCTGGGAAACAGAGTGAGAGACGCTGTCAAAACAAACAAAAACACGCAAGCAAAACAAGCAAGCAAACAGTCTGGCTTGAAGGAGGATGCCAGTATATGATCCTAAATTGGACAAATCTTACTCAAGACAGCCGAATTTCAATCAGATACAATTTCAAATATCCATAGGTATTTTATGTTCTTAAGAAATGAGAAAATTACAAGATACCATTAAATTCAAAGGCTTCTAAAACTAGTTTGAAATACATTTGCATGTCTTAAAACCTTTTGTGAAGTTTAGCTGTACTTAGACAAGTAAAAATGTATTTACATATCTCTAGAGTCGAAATACAAAATCCAAGCCATCAGGGCAAAATGGAAGCAACCAGCCCCAACCTCCCTCTATGGAAACAGATAGTGTGCGCTGGTTGCATCCAGGAACATGCTCCATGCAATCCCACAAACTTAAATCTGCCCCTGACCATATTATATTGACCATACAAAAATTAAAGTAGCTCTATATGTACTTTACTGACATAGAAACTATGTTACATTGCTAAGTATAAAATTCAAATTTCAGAATAATATCAATAGTATAATCCCACTGGAAAAAAAATTGATATTTTTTTTCAGGTTTCACTCTATAATCTTTGTATGGGAATTTTTAGTAAAGCTTATGTATTCATCTGCAGCTTAACTTTTTAGTCTTAAAAAAGGCAAAAGTGAAATTCTGACCACGAAATTCATGTCTGAAACCAGCAATACCACACTTGCACTATTGCAATCCTCGTGCTCCTTCGCACTGCAACCTCTGGAATCCGCTGTAACCCGAGATCGCTGAACGGTGCGGTCCCCTGCAGGCACTCTGGGGGCCGTCACCGGAGCGCAGGCGCAAGCGCGGCCGCCGTCGGGGATGTTCTGTGTGCTGTTGAGACTCCTGCTGAGTTTCACGGCCTCTTAAGACTGTCTTCCAAAAGACGACGTGATGACTCCCAACTGAAATGAAAAAGTGTTCTGTACGCAGAAGGGCAGGCTGGGCGCACGCTGGGCTTCTTTCGGGGACTGAGGACCTCGCCCACGTGCTTCGGGGCACCCGCGCGCCGAAAGCGCGCGCGCGAGGAGAAGCACAAACCCCCAGCTGGCGAGGTCGTGGGCAGCCAGGAGGCGGCGAGGGCGGCTTGTCTTCCAGAGACTGGGGAATCAAGAAAGGCAGAGCCACCTTCTCGGCCCCAGCGCAGCATGGGCAGGTGGCGGGGAGGCCGCAGCGCCCCGCAATCCCGGGTACCCGCAGAAGTCGGTGCGCGCCCCGGGAGCAGGGGAGGCCCAGGTCCAGCGTGCCCAGAAACGCAACGGCGTTGATCAGGAGGACGCTCTCCCACGATCCGCGATCCTCAGGCTCTGATTAAAGTCGAATTAAGTGAGCTATCCGTTCTGGTATCTGTTGTTACTCTTGTGATAAATATGATGTTTGATACGGAAGTATCTTAATAATCATGCTGCCAGTCAAAGAACAAAACACGTAAAGCCTGTGCGCTAAGAACGCGAGAGCATCTCTCTCCTCAGGAGGTGCGGTTTCTCTTTATTGTCTCTCCTTTGTTTCTGTGTAATTCCAAGCAGAATTCCGTGATCAACACATTTTGCTCTTTCCCTTTGTTAGGGGATGACATAGGCTCATTGCATTTGATCAGATTAGTGTTAAACCCCCACCCACGTTTT